TGATCTGTAAGTTTAAATAGAGTTTCGATACAATAAATATATGAATATACATTTAAATTCAAACTCCTTCTTTACATGGTATCAGCCTACCACCGATCCTCCATTGTTTTAATCATCCATGGCTGCCATTAATATTCCAAATCAAGCCTCCCCATATTTTCTTCATTTCTCTGATCAACCTGGCCAATTACTAGTTACACAACTCCTTGATGGTGATAATTATGCCACACGGAGCCGTGCAATCACCATGGCACTAGAAGCCAAAAATAAACTTGAATTTATTGATGGCACCATTATCAAACCAGAACCAAACAACCCCAATTTTTCTAATTGGGTTCGCTGCAATAGTATGGTTCAATCTTGGCTTGTTCATTCCACCATTCCAACTATTGCAAATTCCATTCTTTGGATCAAAAGTGCACGCGACATATGGCTTGATCTTCTTACTCGTTTTAATCAGAAAAATGCTCCTCGTATTTTTGAAATACGACGTGCCATTTCAAACCTCTCTCAAGGAACCAATTCTATTGCTGCTTATTATACACAACTCAAGGCCTATCGAGATGAACTTGATTCTTATCATACACTTCCTGCTTGTGCATGTGGTGTTATACCCAATTTCAATGACATTTATGCTACTGAACATCTCATGGATTTTTTACAGGGCTTAAATGATTCATTTTCATCAGTTCAGAGTCAAATCCTCCTAATGGATCCTCTTCCTTCGGTGCCGAAAGCATACTCTCTTTTGCTGCAGGAAGAGCGTCAGCGTTCATTATCCTATTCTCGTTCCATTGCAATGGAACAATCTGCTATGGCGGCCCAACATACCACTAATTCTCGCGATGGCAATGTTAAATCCCTTTATCATTGTTCAATTTGCAATATTGGTGGACATTCAAATAGTCGTTGTTACACTAGGATTGGATATCCTTCTTGGTCGAAACATAATCTTGGATCCAACAAAACACGTCGTGGACCTTCCTCTCGTGATGGTCGAAACTCGAGACCTTCTGCTTCACACGGTCATCCCACTACTGCTGCTGTTGCTTCATCTTCGGATTCTCAGCCATTGGTTAATTTGTCTCAGACTCATATCCAGCAATTACTTTCTCCTATAAAGTCTAGTAATGATCAACCACTAGCAAATTTTGCAGGTACTTCTTTTCAATGTTTTGCGTCTTTAAAACCTTCTTCCTCTCTTTGGATTTTAGATTCTGGAGCAACTCATCATATGGTATCTGATCTTTCTTTTTTTCATTCATACAAAAAAGTATCCACTTCTGTTAAATTACCTGACAATAAACTTGTTCCAGTACATCATATTGGTTCCATTTATTTGAACACTGGTCTTTTAATTCCACATGTTTTACATGTTCCCTCATTTCAATTTAATTTGTTATCTATTAGCAAATTGTCATGTGACACTCACTCTTCTATCATTTTTACTCCCACTTCATGTATTTTACAGGACCAGAAGACGAAGAAGACTTTTGTGATGGGTGAGCAACATGGAGGTCTTTACCTTATGAACCATTCTCCAACTATCATTTCCTCTGCAGTTTCATTTGATTCTTACTTTGATTTGTGGCATTGGCGTTTAGGACATCCAGCCCCAACTCTATCTTCCCAATTCAAAAATCTTGATTCTAGCATTAAGTTTTCAAATAAATGTTCATGCAACGTTTGTCCTTTGGCAAAACAAACTTGTTTACAATTTTCATTAAATGGCATTTCTACGGTTACATGCTTTGAGTTAGTACATTTTGATGTTTGGGGACCCTATAATAACTCTCACTCTTTCGGTGCAAAAAATTTTCTTACAGTGGTTGATGATTTTTCAAGAAGCACATGGGTTTATCTCATGCACCACAAAAGTGAAGTTAACACAGTAATTCCTCAATTTTTTAAAATGATTGAAAAACAATTTCAAACACATATTAAAAAAGTTCAATCTGACAATGCACGTGAATTTTTCAACTCCCACACTAATATTTTTTTCAAAGATTTGGGAGTATTGCAACAATCAAATTGTGCTTACACTCCACAACAAAATGGAGTTGTTGAGCGTAAGCATAGACATTTATTAAACGTTGCACGCGCTCTGCATTTTCAATCTAATTTGCCTTTAAATTTTTGGGGTGATTTTGTGTTAACAGCTACTTATCTAATCAATCGTTTACCAACTAAGGTTCTCCAAGGTCGTACACCTCATGAAATATTATTTAACAAAAAACCAAATCTTTCTCACCTTCGTGTTTTTGGTTGTTTAGTATACGGTCGTAACACATCAATTTCCCACAAATTTGATAAACGTGCATCTCCAGGAGTTTTCTTAGGTTATCCCCATGGTCAAAAAGGTTACAAAATACTTGATTTATCATCAAAAAAAATATATGTAACTAGAGATGTTATTTTTCATGAACATATTTTTCCATATAAGATGCTTAATGTTGAATCATCTCCCTCAGTTTTACCATTGCCCCCCGTTAAAATACCTTCCTCTACCACGTATTCATTTGATGACTCACCTCCACCATATGATCCTCCCTCCATCATACAACCAACACCATATATTCATCCACTTAATCCAATTTCCAATCACGAACCATCATCTCCCAACCATGAACCAGTATCACCCCTACCTTCCTCAGTCGTGCACAACCGCTCGTCTCGACCACGCAGCCGGCCCAACTACCTCAATGACTATGTTTGCTCTCTCATCTCATCACAAACGTCTTCTTCGACTCCTACTCTTGGTAATCCTTATCCTCTTTGCAATTTCTTATTTTCTCATAAATTTTCTCCTACTTATCGTTCTTTTCTATCAAAAATTGCTACTGAGTCTGAGCCAAACTCATACACCGAGGCTAAGAATTTTCCTGAATGGCGCAATGCAATGCAATCTGAGATTGACGCCTTGTGTGAAAACAGAACATGGTCTTTAGTTTCACTACCACCTAAAAAAAAGCGATAGGTTGTCGTTGGGTTTTCAAAATTAAACGTAAATCTGATGGAAGCATTGAACGGTATAAAGCACGTTTAGTTGCTAAAGGATATACCCAGGTTGAAGGGGTTGATTATTTTGATACTTTTGCTCCAGTTGCTAAACTTGTTACAGTTAGAGTTATTCTCTCTGTTGCCGTTGCAAAAAATTGGCCTCTTCATCAACTTGATGTCAATAATGCTTTCTTAAACAGAGATTTACATGAAGATGTCTATATGCACTTGCCACCCGGTTTTAGGCGTCAAGGGGAGCCTCTTGTTTGTAAGTTAAATAAATCTTTATACGGTCTTAAACAAGCATCAAGAAATTGGTATTCAAAATTTTCAGCAGTTATAAATGTTTGGTTTCACACATAGTACAGCTGATCCATCTCTTTTTTGTCTGAAGCGTGAATTTGACTCTGTTTATTTGCTTTTGTATGTCGATGATATTCTCATTACAGGTTCAGATCTCCATCTCATAAATTTGGTTAAGGACCTTTTACACAACAACTTCAAAATTAAAGACTTGGGTTCTTTGAAATATTTTTTGGGTATTGAAGTCGCCACATCAAAAAGGGGTCTTTTCTTATGTCAACGACAATATGCTCTTGATATTATATCTGATAGTGGTCTTACTGCCACCAAACCTGTCGACTTTCTGATGGAACAAAATTTAAAATTATCTCCATCTGATGGTAAGCTTTTAACTGATCCCGCACCTTATCGTCGACTTGTGGGTCGTCTCATTTATCTCACTGTCACGCGCCCTGATATCACATACCCCGTCAATATTTTGAGTCAATTTATGCATGCTCCTCGCCAACCACACATGAATGTTGCTACTCGACTTATTCGCTATCTCAAGTCCACTCCGGGCCAAGGTCTCTTCTTCCCTTCTATTTCAAATCTCTCTCTTCAAGGTTATTGTTATTCAGATTGGGCTAGTTGTCCTACCACTCAGCGCTCCACTACCGGATATTGCATTTTTTTGGGTTCTAGCATCATCTCTTGGAAGACAAAGAAACAAAGTGTGGTCTCCTATTCCTCTGCTGAAGCTGAATATAGAGCAATGGCCAATGCAACTTGTGAAATTACTTGGCTCTCCTATCTTTTGAAAGATATTGGTCTATCTCCTTCTACATCAATACCGTTGTTTTGTGACAACCAGTCCGCTCTTCATATTGCCTCAAATCCAGTCTATCATGAACGAACGAAACATATAGAAATCGATTGTCATGTTGTCTGTGAAAAAATTTCTTCTGGACTTATTACTACTATGAAAGTCAGTTCTGCAAATCAAATTGCTGATTTACTTACCAAGTCTTTGGGAAAAGATCAATTCATGCATTTAAAGAGCAAGATGGGATTATCCAACTTACACCTCCCATCTTGAGGGGGAGTGTTATCACAACAAATCATGCATAGCTGTTGACAATGATTTTGTTATTATTAGGATATATTTTCATTAAAATAGGATTTGATTGCAATTGATTGCCTTTTACTATTTTCCATTTATAGTTACGTTTCATGTTTGATCTGTAAGTTTAAATAGCATAGCCTTTGTACAATTTTGATACAACAAATATATGAATATACATTTAAATTCAAACTCCTTCTTTACAATGAGGTGTTGTCATATGTTTTATGAATGTGTTTCTCTTGGAATCCTAATAAAAATGATTGTTGAGAATTAGTCTTCTACCTTCTTCATAATATGGTGGAAGAATTTATTGATTAAAGAAAACAGAATAAGGGCATGAAGCTCTTATTGAAAAATATGTGACTGCATAATTGAAAAATATGTCATTCATATTTACTAATTCATTTGCAAATTCCAACAAATACCTTAACACCATGTATAGTTACATGCAATTATTAATAAATATAGCGGTTGATGATGTACATGTAGTACCACCAAGAATAACAATGAATATAATACAAGATACTCTTATCACTTGAATGGCTACTCTTTTAGGATGGATAACAGTAACCATCTCAATGTTGCATCATGTTCACTATTCACCATTCTTATAACCACCATAGCTTTCATCCACTACCCTTAATAAGCCAAAAGGTGATCACAAGAAAAACAAATGAAGAATATGAAAAGTATATAATAAAAGCAAAGGCATAAGAGTAGAGAAATAAAAGTGTATAATGATTTGAAGTGTTAAATGATAATACCTTAACAGCAGTGGAGATACAAGAGTAGGATGAATCATTACATACCCCTGTGTTCAACTCAAAGAACTTGATACCATGTGCCATCTTCTACTCTTAGCAATAACTACCTATGAAGTTCACAAGGTTGGTCTTGTCTTCACAACCCAAAGAGTCAAACATCATGGAGATAGAATAGAATAATGTTATCATTACACTTCAGAATAAAACAGGAATGTAAGAATCACTCTTCAACAATGACACGAGATAATTTTTATTGGCTGAGTCACGTCCCCAGGATAAAACAATTCAGCTCTCTGTTATACAATTTCTTACTGCACTGTAAGAATCACTCTCGAATACACCAAAAAATATGGCTTCCAGTGTCAATTCCAAATACCCACAATATTGGCTTCTCATGCCAATTCTATTCCAACAACTAACTACCAGTGTCAGTATTCCGAATTTCCCACAATATTGGATTCATGTTCCAACTCTAGTGTCACGGAAAGAAAGGGAGAGAAAGGAGGCCGGAATTGCATCGGCAGAATTTATGGAGGGAGAAAGAAGCTTATATAAGCGTACAAGCTTCAAGTGCAAAAAATAATGAAGGGGGAGGCCTCTATTTATAGAATGGGATTTTGTCACCACTCTTGCATCCTCCAATGTGGGACTTGTGAGATTTTTTCAAAATCTTTCAATGTGGGACTTGTGAGTTTTTACAAAAACTTCCAATGTGGGACTTGTGGTCCTCACTAATGGCCTCAAACTAAACAAGTTCCAACAATCCCCCACTTGAAATTAAAAAACGATTTCCGGAAATTTCTGTGGTCTCATTAAGATTGTGCATAAACAAAAGTGTCGTTCGACTTGAACCTTTGCATAGTGAGTAAGATCCATATTTTACTAGAGTGACTCGTAATCTTGAACTCTATCTCCGGCATCAAACCACACACAACCTTTTCAAAGGTGTATTCAATAAAGCTCGTGCGTTAAAGGCCATGCACGTCTATCCCAGTTTAGTGAACGCTCTAGAAATTTATGCCCCTTAAATTTCATAGAAAGCGGCCCCCACTTTCACATTCACATAGGTGAGTGTATCAAGAGTACTCCTGTAGTCTAGGTACTCCACTCCAATTGGAGTATAGATCTCATTAAGAGTTTAACTCATCCTTACATATACTGCAGGAATCATGTTTCTCATAATTTCATAGCATGTTCATTCTCATATCACTTCATAACTTGTTATTACCCATTAAACCTACTTCTTGGGATCTCCAGTCAGTTAGGTCGGGTTACCATCGTGAGTGATCTTCGTTCTAAAGGCAATAGTCCCATGAGATTAGAAGTATTATGGACTTTCTCTCTAGCTAGTCCTTTCATCAAAGGATCTGCTAAGTTATTCTCAGTGCGTATGTGATCCACTCTAACAGCTCCTGTAGAGAGAAACTCTCTAATAGTGATGTGCTTACGACGTATTTGTCGTTTCTTACCGTTATAAAAACGGTTCTCAATCTTTGCAATAGCCGCGGTACTATCACAATGGATCAACACAGCTGGTATCGGGGTCTTTCCCATAGGGGAATCTCAGCTAGCAAGCTTCTAAGCCAACTTGCTTCTTCACTAGCTGTTGCTAGTGCTATCATCTCAGCTTCCATAGTGGATTGAGCCAAAATAGTCTGTTTCTTTGACTTCCAAGAAATAGCTCCACCAGCTATGCTAAATATATAGCCACTGGTCGCTTTGGAATCATCTGAAAGAGTGTTCTAATCAGCATCGTTGTATCCTTCTAGGGCAGCTGGAAACCTTTGGTAATGTAAACCAAGGTTTATAGTTTTCTTAAGGTATCTCATTACCCTTTCAATAGCATGCCAATGCTCCATACTAGGTCTACTGGTAAACCTGCACAATAGTCCAACAACATAGGCAATGTCGGGTCTAGTGCAATCAGTGGCATACCGAAGGCTGCCAATGATTCTAGCATATTCTGTTTGTCTTACACCTTCACCAGTGTTTTTAAAAAGTTTTACACTTGGGTCATATGGTGTGCTAGCAGGTTTACAGTCAAAGTATTTATATTTCTTAAGGATCTTTTCTACATAATGTGATTGATCCAGAGAAATTCCTTCCTTTGACCTAGTAATCTTGATACCAAGGATTACATTTGTCTCTCCAAGGTCTTTCATATCAAAGTTGTTACACAACATTGATTTCACATTATTCACAACATGAATGTTGGAACCAAATATGAGTAGGTCGTCTACATAAAGACATATGATAGTGTAAATGTCATTTTTTGATTTGTAATAAATGCATTTATCACTTTCATTCACCTTAAACCCGTTCGATATGATTAAGTTATCAAACTTTTCATGCCACTGTTTAGGTGCTTGTTTAAGACCATACAATGACTTATCTAACTTGCAGACTTTATTTTCTTTCCCATTGATTACAGAACCTTCAGGTTGTTCCATGTAGATTTCTTCTTTCAAATCACTATTTAAAAAAGCGGTTTTAACATCAATTTGATGTACTACTAAATCATGTATCACAGCGAGCGATATTAGTACTCTAATGGATGTTATTCTAGTAACATGTGAAAATGTATCGAAGAAATCTACATTCTCTCTTTGTCTGAAACCTTTGTCTACAAGGCGAGCCTTGTATTTATCCACTGTGCCATCAGGTTTCAGTTTCTTTTTCAAAACCTACTTACAACCAATCGGTTTGCAACCAGGTGGCAAGTCAGTCAAATGTCAAGTCTTGTTAGACTCTAGAGAATTCATCTCATCATTTATGGCTTCTTGCCATAAATCAGCATCCAATGAAGTCAAAGCTTCTTGGATAGTTGATGGATCATCTTCCAATGTATAAACCATATAATCAGGTCCATACTCTCTAGCAGTTCTTGTTCTCTTACTTATTCTAGGTTATACTTCTAACTCATCATCACTATCTGTAATCACATGTGTGTGACTAGATGATGTGCCCCCACTATTCCTCAATTTAAAAGGGAATTTATTTTCATCAAAGTCAGCATCATTAGACTCAATGATTACTTTAGCGTTAAGGTCATAAAACCTGTATGCCTTGCTGTTTATAGCATACCCAATGAATACACATTCATAGGCACTACTAGCGAGTTTAACTCTCTTGGGGTCTGGTATCCGGACATAAGCAAGACAACCCCAAGTTCTGAAATAAGACAAATTAGGTTGTCTATTCTTAAAGAGTTCATATGGGAATATTTTACTCTTAGTCTTGGGGACTCTATTTAGCACATAACAAACAGTTAATAAAATTTCACCACACCAAGAGGGTGCTGCACCAGAACTTAACATGATAACTACTACTAATTCAGTTAATGTTTTATTCTTTCTTTCAGCTTTACCATTCATTTCAGGTGAATATGGTGTAGTTTCATGAATAATGCCTTTTAATTTATAAAAATCATTAAACATGCTAGAATCATACTCAGTGCCTCTATCGCTCCTGAGTTTCTTTATTTTCTTATTGAATTGATTTTCAATTTCAGTTACATAGACTTTAAACATATCAAGTGCATCACTTTTATTTTTCATAAGATAAACATAAGTGAAATCAGAGCAGTCATCCATAAAAGTTATAAAATATTGTTTACCATTTCTGGTTAACGTTCCATCTAATTCACATATATCAGAGTGTATCAAATCTAAAGGCTCAGATTCTCGCACTACTGATTTATGTGATTTTTAGTTATTTTAGCTTGACTGCATGATTCACAATTTTCAAAATCATTTTTAGATAACTTGAGAATTAATCCTAAATTACTTAAATTTGTAATTGCACGTTTATTAATATGACAAAGTCTAGAATGCCAAATATTAAAATCACACAGCATGTAAATGGAATCATAAATTTTATTAATAGTAACTTCGACATTTAACTTAAACATGTCATCAGTGGCGTACCTCTCCCTATAAATACCTCATTCTTAGTAAGAGTGTACAAGTCTGCTCCTATTGTATGGGTAAAACCAGTTTTATTAAGAAGAATATCTGATACTAGATTCTTCCTCATCTCTAGAGTATGCATCACATCTTTGAGTATCAAAGTCCTCCCAGATGTAAACTTCAGCTCCACATCACCAGTTCCAGCAACAGTAGTGGTGTGAGAGTCTCCCAGCAGCACTTTCTTGTTATCAGCATTCGTGTATGTTTTGAACATAGCACGATCATAGCAGACATGGCGGGATGCACCAGTATCTACTCACCACCCATCACTTGCTCCAATCATTGTGACTTCAGTTAACACGGCCACTAGTGGATCCTCAACCATGTTAGCTTATGGAGGATGATCCACTGGTTGGTTCCTGCACTTTCGTGCCATATGACCTAGCTTCCCACACTTGAAGCAGATAAATAAGTTGTCAGAGTCATTCTTAGCGGGTGGTTTAGCATATTGGACCTTTTTAGGGTTCCAATTCTTGTTGCGGCCGGTGATCTTAGCCTTATTCCCATTGCGTTTCTGATTCTTAAAGTTGCTGCCCGAAGGCTTCAGAACCGCACCTCAGAATTTCTTTCTAGTGCTATTGCTTGATATAGTCAACACTTCTTCATTCTGATCTTGCTTACGAGCCTCTTCCTTAAAGCGAAGACGAGTGATCAGAGATTCCAAAGAAAATTCTTTGGTCTTATGTCTTAGGACGTTTTTAAAGTCCTTCCAGCTAGGTGGCAGTTTATCAATAATGACAACTACCTGAAATTGCTCATCTAAGGGCATACCCTCAGTGATGATCTCATGAGCAATTTTCTGAATCTCGTGGGACTGAGACTCTACTGATTTATCATCAGTCATCTGATACTTGAGGTAGCGGCTAACAACATATTTCTTAGTCCCAACTTCCTCAGTATCATATTTCTTTTTGAGTGTTTACCAAACTAATTTGGCAGATTTATATGGGATGTAATAATCATATATATCATCAGACAACCCACCAAGAATGAAATGCTTACATAAGTAGTCATTTTCATTCCATAGAGCGATATCAATAACTAATTTTTCCTTTTCCTCTTTCTCAGCTTCTTTAGGGACCACTGGGACATCATTCTTCAAAACATGGGCAACCTTTTTAACCGTTAGGAAAAATTCCATCTTGGTTTGTCAGCGTTTGAAGTTAGTCCCGTCAAACCTGAATGGTTTG